CCAAGGTAAATTCATAAAGGAGAAGCCTATAAAAACTAACAAAATCAAACGTTATACTTTATCAACCAACGGAACGAATGGAAAACAACCTCCCATTTGTTTGACAATTAATTGTTTATAGTTCCGTTATATTGACAAAATTGAGTGAGCATCTATTTTAACTACCTACCTCAATCGAAGACCTGTCCGTGTTGGTGTTTGTGAATTATTGTTATACTCATATTTCTTTCCTAGCGGCTATGGTCTTCATTTTCTACTTTTTATTAATGTTTTTTACATTAGATTTTCATGCTACTCTTATATACAGATAATTTACATAACTTTTACTTGTATTTATAGAAACATTAGACTGTTTTACCATTTTAAAATAAGATAGTAGAAAAAATAACAAGAACACTGCAATGTTTTGAATTCCTGCATTAGATATATTGTAGTACTCTTGAACTATCCATTCTAGGAGCGATGATGTGAATGCTAAACAAATAAAAATATATATCAGAGTATATACAATCTAAGTCTCTTTCCTCTTGCAAAAATATAAAAACAAATGAAACTTAAAGACAGATTGAAAGAACTAGTCCAATATAAAAAAATAAGATGTGGTATAATTGCCAATGAGACAACTATCTCTCCACAAGAGACAAAATGACAAAGAAGTTAACAACTATAGGTCACCTTACGATCTTCAACAATGAGCAAAACCCATACTTTGTTTCATAAAATTGAATGGTCAACGTAGTAGCACAAATCTTGTTATAGGAAGGGTTAAATCATCACTTTGACTCATATAAATTATTCTCTGGAACAGACACCATCAAGATGCTTGATTTTTTTGTTACGTTTGGAGGACGTGTTTTTTCAACGAACTATCGAAATCTTATAGAAACCAATTGTGCTTTATTCATATAAGACATATTCATACGGAAGCTTCTCAGGAAGAATAAAAAGAAGCTGACATTATCCTTTTACTTCCCGTTCCGTATATAGATGATATTCTCTCACTAAAAAGTTTGGTGACTATGTTTCTTCGGAAAATGCTTGAACCAAGTCAGGAATTTGACAATTGTTGTTCACTCGTTCCGTTGCTTGATGACGTTTGATTTTGTCAGTTTCTATGGACTTCGCCTTTTTGATTTTACCTTCGAGTTCGGTATTGTTTGTTATACTTTTTATCCAATCGAACTTTAAATTTAAGATACCACGGACACAGTTAAGCCTGCCTTATATACTGACTTACATCTATAAATTGACAATGAGGATCGGTTAAGAATAAAACGATACGAAGAAAGGAATGATAATCAATTTCAGCTTCCCAATTACGAACTTTCAATAACTATGTAGCAACATTCCAATAGCGCATGCATAATGAGTATACATCTCCCATTTGATACGATATTCAAGAGCTTGCTTTCTGGTTTTTGGCTTTTGGCGTTCCTTGTGCAGGTGGGTCCAGATATGCGATTCGGATACAAAAGATTTTTACAGTGTTGTATTCATTTTGCTGACCCTTGTGTTGATACTCTACTTAATCGAGAGAGTGTATACTCTATGAAATATAACAAAAAAAAACCTTTTTTGTTAGCGTCTTTGTTAGATTTATTTAGATATAGGAAGACGTGGTATGAGTGCCAATGAGACAACTCTCCATCCAAGTCACAATTTGTAAAAGTAAACCATTTTAGGTCAAAGTACGGCCTTCAACACGGAGCATGTTTGTTTGAACTTTTTAGTTAGTTGTGGTGTATGTATATAATGTATGTTTACACGGAACTATAAACAACTGTCATACAAGTGGAGGTTTAGTAGCTATTAAACCAGGTTCAACCCACCATTTTGTACGGAAAATGCCTGCACTAGTCAGGAATGTGATTTGTTTTCCATTCGTTCCGTTGGTTGATAAAATTCGTGTTTGATTTTGTCAGTTTTTATGAGAGTTACCCCTTATTTAATTATCTTGGAGTTTATACTTTTTTTCCTATCATGTTTTTCGTGAAAGAGGGTTGCTGCTTACAATGAAGCTGTTCCTGTATATGTTTTTATCAAATAAACTAATTGTTTATTCCTTTCTTAATACATATATATGTACAGAAAATAACAGATTAAATTATGTAGTATTCAACATTTAGTGGTATATTTAACAGATCATTACGTTGTATATTATCCTGTGTAGTGTAGAATGTTCTAATTCTAATTCTAATGTTATATGAAAAGTTTTCTTTGGTAAGCGTTTTGGTAATTCAAACGATAGATGCATGTAACCCTAACCCTTGTCCCGGCTGATAAGGCTGCCAATAATATCATTATTGTTTGACGTAAATTTTATATTAAGGTTCTGCAAAAAGAATTGGCCAATTCACAAACATTCAAACTGACTCCATTTTCGGAAAATGACATCTGTAACAAACAAACTTTATCTACCTCTTTACAAGCAGAACCAAATACAATGAAAGTTCCTACTATGCACTGGCTTCCGAAGCTGCACAAAACACCGTACAAATATAGATTTATTTCGTCTTCAAGCCATTGTTCCACTACTAAACTGTCTATTACACTTACTAGTACACTTGGTACAATCAAAAACCTAGTAATAAATTGTTCAAAAAAAGGACTTTGAAAATAGTGGGCATTAATTACTTTTGGAGTGTCAAAAATTCGTTGGAAGTAATTGATAAATTACATGCTTATATTGGAGATTTCGAATCTGTTCAAAGTTTTGATTTTTCTACCCTATTAACCACTTTGCCTCATAATCTCATTAAGAAAAAAATCACACACCTGATTAAATGGGCATTTAAAAAGTCAGAGTGCGAATATATATGTTCAAACTCTTTTAGGTCGTTTTTTAGTAACAACAAACAAAAGAACTATGTCACTTGAACCTGCTTTGATACGATAACTGCACTTGAATTTTTACTAGATAACATTTTTGTTCGCTATGGAGATTCTGTATATCGTCAAGTTATCGGAATTCTAATGTGAACTAACTGTGCACCACTTATTGCGGACCTGTTTCTGTATTGTTATGAGTTACAATTTATGACTAAAATCAGCAAAGACCCATCGAAACAACATCTGATACAAAAATTTAATAACACTTTTAGGTATTTGAATGATATATTGGCCCTCAATAACGACGACTTCAGTATGTACTATAAAGAGATTTATCCTGCTGAATTGACTTTAAATAAAGCTAATACTAACAATGAACACTGCCCTTTTTCTAGATCTTGATATCTATCTCTTTAACGGGAAGGTTGATACGATATTCCCGGGCTTGTATTTCCTATCATGATTTCCTTGATAGAGGATTGCTGCTCACAAGGAAGCTATTAAACCAAGAGTTTCAAATGGTGAAGTTGAAATCATCCCTTCGTAAATTTTACGGACGCCATCACGAGTGGGTGATCGTTCCTTATGTCGTAACTACAATACCCTTCCCTTTTCACGAATGTGACCTACCGAATAAGACTATTTACCGGATTTGTAATAACATAAGCTACACGACGGGTGCCACATGTGGAGCAGGATCTGCTTACCCTTCCGGAGCACCTGAGATCACCCCCAGTTTTTGGTGTGGTTCGTGTTGCTTAGTCTTTAGTTTTCTATGTAGTGTCATCTATACTATTATTTGTCTGTTTGTCTTTTTATTTTTGGCGATGGCGTTGTCAGTTTGTTTTCGATCTATGAGTTTGACCGTCCCTCTGGAATCTTTCGTCCCCCTTTTTTGATACCAACATTTACGATAAAAGAGATGATTTTACATTTCCTATTGTTAATTATCCATTTTTAGATGTTGACGTTCCTTTGTCACCATCTTATGGTGTTTATATATCTCAACTTGTTCGATCGCTCGTGTATGTAACAACGTATTTGATTTTAACGAAAAAATCTCTATTACTGAAAAATTATTACACCAGTTCGATATCACAAACTAGTCAAAACATTTACTAAATTTTATCATCAGTACAAGGACATCATTCGTAAATATAAACCAACATGCAGACATCTTATACGTTCAGGTATTTCACATCCAATCTTTTATGGTAATATTCTATACAAAGCACAAAAAGGTCGTTATTCACCTCAAAAGCTAACCAAACCTTTAAACAGACTTATTCATAGGGATATAGTTACGATACTGTTGTCATGTCATTAAAGATGGCATATTTTGGAATTAATATTGAATCACTCATAGGGTCTTTGCATTGGAAATAAACACATTAATTATAAAACCAGTTGTTGGCATGATACGGGTTATGTTCTTCTCATATATTTTATGATGGTATGATACTAAAGCCCTAACGGGAGGGATTGTGCTTGATTTTCATATGATGAAAACATAATCTTTCAATCAGTTTAATTGAGGTCTGGAGCTGGCATGTCTGTAACTGCTAGTAGTCCTTTGTTAATTTATGTATCATTGTCATTTTGCTTAGTTTCTTCTGTTACCTTTTCTGACAACGGACTCGGACTTCTTTTAAACTGAGTTTTACTGTAGGTATTGCTATGTGTTTGTTTATTCTACATTGGCTAGAAGTATAGGCGGAGGGTTGAGATCTCACAAAACATGTTTAACCCTGCCGCATTTTTGCACCTGTCCCAAGTCAGAGGCCTCTGACCTTTGTTAGTTTTGTATGTTTTTTTAATTTTAGTTCATTTATATGTTTTGGAGTTTAGTGTGACGTCCATTTTCATTGAACTAGTACACAGTTTTGTTTAGGGGCCAGCTGAAGCCCGCCTCCGGATGCGGGATTTTATCGCTGGGTTGAGGAAGACCCATTGGTGGCCTTAATCTGTTTTCTGCTCTTTGGTCGGGTTGTTGTCTCTTTGACACATTCCCCATTTACATTCTCAATTTTATGTTTAAACAAGTTCCTCGGCGTTACCACAAGTAAATAGAGTTTAGACTTAAACGGTCATATAGATCTTAACATTATTTGATATAAAATGTCTGAACAATTAATTATTAATTCAGGTTAAGATTTTTGGTCAATTTTCAGATTTGTTCACTGCAGTAGATTCAGCACTGTTCAGACAATTGTCTATAGGTCACGTAAAAGAGGACGTCTAAGATGAAGGTGAGGAAACTGTCACTGGAAAATGAGGGTACTGTTGAGAATAAAGTACAAATTAATAACTTTATGTTTCGCGTATTTTATGTCTTATGTTTGTGACGATACTTGGTACTTTTGTATGGGCACCTTAGATATAGATTTGTTCATACGTTAACACAAGGTGAAATTTAAGTGAATTATTCGTTGATTTCAACACAAACTTAAAGCGGTGAGAGCAGGACGTAAAGTGTTGTTGAAACACTTTTGAGAAGATCGGATGAATAGCAGGATTTAGAGATTGAAGATATTACCGAATTATTATAAGTACTTTTACAATTTAAAACAGAAGATTTTTAGTGCTTGAATGAAGAAAATTATAAATCTATCGAAGGATGAGGACCTTTAGGAAGAAATTCTAACGACAAATAAGTATAATTATTTCGGAACACTCAAAAAAGACACTTATGAGTAATCAGTCAACGAAAATCAAATCAACAGTGTTCAGTACAAAATACATATAGTTCTGTTCAACAACAAATATACCATGTTCCTACAAACGTTACTCAAAAATCACCAATTGCCGAAACTCGCCTTACCACCCTAAGGGTGATTGGTGAATAGAAATAATCACTCTTGGTCTTTAACCGACCGGCAGTAAAACCCTTTCTAAATTGGGGCGTTCGTTGGGCTTTGCGAATTGTACAAGTACGCAGCCACGTCTAATCAGAATTCGGACGTTAAATGCCTCGTGTAAAGAGAGTGCCACGCTCTTTGCACGTTAAGAACCTTGCAACAACTCTTTGAGGGGTCTGTAGGTGGCCTTTTGCAAGGCAAAATTCAAGTTTATTTCCAATTTGCCCTCATTTTGTAGATGCAGTCCATGTTTCCCCGACCTTTATCCCGGACGGCATCAATTGCAGGACCTACATATTGCATCTATTATTAAAATGTTCTAGTCTTGAACATGCGTGAAATATGTGCCACTGGACATTAAGCAACCATCAATCAATCAATCAATTAATCAATCTGCTTACCAACATTTACAAGAGAAACACTCAAGTGGTAATCTATTAAGTACTCGTTGGAATCCTCTGTACAGTACAATCCCGCACTTACTGACATACAGAAATTCACGTATTTGAAATCGCAACTTAGTAATGATGTATTGATGGACTACAAACCCTTTTCATATGAAAATGATTAAAATGTTAAAAGGACGTTTTGGACAGCCACACAAAATAATGAATGCCTACATGCAAACCCTGTTAGAACTTCCTGCATCGCAATACAACCTTATTAGCCTCCGAAACTATTACGACAACCTAGAAGCCTACATAAAGGTCTAGAGTCCTTCGGTAGATCGGGAGATTCGTATGGAGATTTGCTCATCCCAGCTGCCGTCAGCTAATTAGACAAAACTTAGCTTGAGAAGACGGATTCGATAACTGGGAACTTATAGAATAAAGACGATATATTGAAAAGAATCTCCATTTTAGAAGCAGCAAAATGCATCGATGTAGTAACAGACAATTTGCCGTCAACAGCATCAATTTGAACAAACGTCAATAGAAGAAAAAATCCGCGAGTCAATGATAAATTTAAAAACCGCCAAAACAAAATACAAATATATACGTTTGCAGGCTACCAGTATGTTGAGAATATAGCGCAAATTAACTACGTAACGTTTCCCATATTTTATGTCTTATGTTTGAGACGCTACTTTGTACTTTTGTATGGTCGTCTTAGATATACATTTGATCCTAAAGTAATACAACGCAAAGTATCAGTGACTTAATCGACACAGGTACATTGGATAGGGACAGAAGGTATGCCTTGTAACAATCCATCTACGGACCCCTCAAATAGTTGTTGCAAGGGTTCCTAACGTTAAAAGTGCGTGACAGTCTCTTTACAGGAGGCATCGGATTTAACGTCCCAATTCTGACCGGACGTGGCTGCGTATTTATATATCCATATACAGGGATACATACGCCCCACTTTGGCAAGGATTTTGCAGGCGGTCGAAAAAAAGACCTAAGTTACCATGTTTCTTTTCACAGTCACCCTTGAAGGTTGAGACATTTGCTATGGACATAATATTACTGAACTTTATTTGAATTATAATGTAATACAGTTTTTTACGGAATTAATTGATGTGTAAACCCGGCCTTTTACTCAATTTGTAAGTGAGTCCACTGGTGTTAAACTGATCGTGGTAACTTCTTTAAGCTTTATAAACCTAAGGCAAAATGTTGTAATAGAATAACAAACAATCTTGTATAAATGGCAAACAAATTTAAACAGTCCTTTCTTGGATGTACCATCATTTGGAACACTCAAAGCCAAATTTAAAAACCCAAACAGTAGAAGAGCTATAGTACCACAAAGGACCTAAAACATAGCTAAATCCGTCTATGGTCAACTTTGCCTCAGGAAGTTGAAACCTTAGTTTCATTATAATATCTTTACTAACTGCTTTTTAGTGGCCCATGAAAGATAACTCAAATAATTCTACTTGTTAACGCATAATACATTTCACTATAAATTTTACCTATTTTTTTTTTAAAAGCCTTTTTACTAATTTGTAATCCAATTTGTAATCTTTTATTCTTTGTTGTCCTTTATCACAGAACTTAAAGATAAGAATGGGATAGGGTTGGTTTGGGCTAGAAAAGTATATGTACATAATTCACAAATTGACATGTTGCATTGGACATGTATCTTCCATAATACTCATTTCGTACCAAATCCTTTGTTAATTTGTTCGAAACGTTCTTAATAAATCGAGACGTCCGGACTTAACACAGATTACTTACGTATCGGACGTATTAGACATACTGATAATTCATTGTAAAAGTCAAAGACCTTTTAGTTATATTTTCAATTGATATTTTCAATTGATATTTTCCTGGTGAACGGGAGATAATCAAATTTAACTGGGGTCAAACTTTAATAACAAGATATCACGAACAGGAAAGAACGGAAAATTAGTTTAATAACTTTCTTTAAGTATGTTAGAATTAGAATAAAAAACCAGTATATATCCTAAACGTGAATACAAATATGTCGTAAATCTGTAAAGGTTATCTTTCGATGTTGTGTTTTGTGTACTATTGTTTGTCTGTTGGTCTTTTTCTTTTTTAGCCATGGCGTTGTCGGTTTATTTTCGACTTGTGAGTTTGAATGTCCCCCTGGTATCTTCCGCCTCTCTTTTTTCGTTAAATGTAAAAATTAAACGCACATGTGTCCGTAACTGTAAAAAAAAAACAACTCTTAAAAATTCATTCCCGTATCTGCATGAGATTACACGCATGTTTTTCATGTTCGTAACTATTTAATTTCTGGCAAAATGTTGTTTATTTTAAAACATTTTATACATTAGAGTAATAAAAAACTGAAAGTAGCATTGGCAAAACAATAAATTCACTGACCTGAATGGGAATCAAATACTTTTGCCAAAATATAACCTTGACTTGTTAAAGCTAGCTATAAATTATTAAAGACGACACCATGTTTTCAATTATACAGTCGGGCCAAGAAAGACGATATGGAGTTGTATGAAAATGTAATCTTCACAAGATTATTGTAAATTTCAGAAATGCTGCCCAACACCTGCATGTTTAACGTTCAGATTTTTATCTATATTATTGAATATTCGAAAGAAATCGACAATTTGGGGCCCATCATCATAGATTATTCAGAACATCCGGACTTTTCTTCAATTTAAGAATCGGAAATGTGTGAGTTTTACTCTTCAAAGGTAGTCAGCTCAGTGTTGTTTGCTTAATGTATCAGTTATTCATTGGTCTAAATTCATTTATGACGTTAACTTTTCTTATTTTGCTATTATAAAGTTACGGACATCAAAAGTATCAGTTACGGAAATCAATGCTTGATTTATTGTTGGTGGCTTAACGTCAAGTGGCAAATATTTCATGCATGGTAAGGACGAAAAACAAATTAACACTTAATACAATAGGTAGGTCCTGTAATAGGGCTGTCCGGGATGAAGGTCGGGGACATTTGGACTGCGTCTGGAAGATGAGGATATATAAGATGTGGACAAAAATTTAGCCTTGCAACAGCCCACCTACGGAACCCTCAAAGAATTGTTACAAGGATTATCAAAGTGCAAAGATAGTGGCATTCTCTCTACTAGGCATTGGATTTAACGTCCCCATTCTGACCGGACATGGCTGCGTTCTTGTACGTCCGGATAGCAAAACGGATGCCCTACTTTGGACAGGGTTTGACTGTCGGTCGGAAGAAGACCTGTAGTGACCATATTTCTATTACCCATTGGGCATCGGAAATCAAAGAATTTGTTTTTTCATTAAAGTTACAGACATCACCAATATATTTGTAATGATTGTTTTCTGCACCAAACATAAACTCTGTTCCAGGGTATAAATTAAGACGGCAGTAACTAACCGATGTTGAAATCTCTTAAATCGATTAGGACGAGACAAATCGAGGCAATAAAAGAACAGAGTTCCAATGTCCCCCGCGTTGCACACATTTTATCTGTCCATGTGCAATAACTTTTTTAATAAATATTTTGGAGAAATTAAGGCTCGAGAGCAAATGCAATGTAATTTCCAATATTATTAATGATTCAAAGAGGCATAACTTAAAAAAAATATTTGATTGGCACTGATTTTTGAAATTGTCCGAGACATTGCTGGTATAAACCTTTGATATAAATTTGAGAGCACCAACAATGCAAAAAAAAAAAAAAAAGGAAAACAACACTTTATTAATTTCATGCGTCCGAAGCGCTTTTCTGGATTTACCTTCAACAGGTACGCTCAAATCCTAATAGTTGAAAGCCAAGGATTTATAAGAACTGAAACAGTTGAAGAGCTATATAACCAAAAAGGACATAACAAAATAGCCAAATCCATCTAAGGTCAACTTTGCCTGAGGGAGTTGAAACCTTAGTTTCTAACAATTTCAAAATTTATTAACGGACAATTTTAGAAAGGTTAGTTATAAATCATGTCATGGCCGATGAAACCCTCGGG